TGCCTTGGGAGGGGGCGCCGCCAGGAGCGCCGGCCCCCCTCATGCTGCAGCCACCCGAGCACTCTGCAGAGAGCCTCGCCATGAGGAGAGGGGCTGACAGGAGGGAAGCTATCAGGACATCCCCTACACACTCCACCCCCTGTGAACAAACTTATTGGTGGAACATGAAGGTGGACCCTGGGACCCAGACCTTGAGCTGTGTAAAGGGCCCCCAAAAATGGAGCTGCTTCCCGTTCTCCCAGAACATTGATTTTTTTGACCACAGTTACAAACCGCCTCCAGAGAGCCTGTTATACACCAGACAGTGGAGCCTGACTGCAGCTAGAGCCCATCATCATCCTCATCTGGTTGTAAGTAGGCAATCTAGTATATTATTCGTGGCACTAATCTCTAATTTACCTCACATTAAAGAAACACTATAGCCCCCAGAACCACTGCAGCTTAATGTAGTGGTTCTGGTGTCTATAGCCTTTCCCTGCAGGCCTTTTAATGTAAACACAGCGGCACTGCAGCACTGGCGTTAGATAACATGGCAAATCATATGGGTGGGGCATTGTGAGGTCACATAGGGGGGGCGGCAAACTTTACTATTGCCTAGGGCGGCAAAAATCCTTGCACCAGCCCTGGCTGGAGGGGGCTGTGTGAGCTGTGGCCGCACAGTGCCCCATAGTAGTTAGGGTGCCGTGCGGCCAGTACAGCTCACACAAGCAAACAGCTGATAAACTGGCCGCACGGAGGAAAAGTGGGGCGGAGCTAAGCAAAATCAGAGGAGGAGCCAAACTGGTGCTGGGGGCGGGGCTTTTGGGGGGCAAAGGGGTGCCAAGCACAGGATCCGCCCCGGTATATATATATATATATATATATATATATATCCCCTGCAGTCAATTCATTGCTCAATTCTCTGCCATCCCTACACACTTCCTGATAAAGATTCTAAAGGTTTAAGCTTCCCATATTGCATAGTGTCTCTAGAGCAGGGGTAGGCAACCTTTTAGCAGCACTGTGCCGAAATATGATTGTGATGTCCCGTAGCGTGTCGGTCCGATTTCTTTAAATTGAGGTGTGCATGTTGCCATATTCTGCTTGTGTTATTTATACTGCAGTTGCTTTGTATCGTTGTATTTGTGCGTATATGAACTATTATATTGTATATGTTTACAAGTAGTTTGTGGTGTTGTGTATGATACCTATGAATGTAGGCTGTGTATGGGGGCTGCTTGTGAAATTGTGTGTGGATGGGTATGTCACATTGTGTGTTTGGTAGTGTGTGTATGTGTGGTGCTGTTTGGGGTATTGCATGTAAGAGGCTGCATGTGGGGTTGTGTGCATGTATGTGGATTGTTGGTGGTGGTGTGTTTGTGTGGACTGTGTGTGTTTGTATTAAATGAGGGGAGGGTTATTCTGCAGCTCTGAGGCTTCCCTGGGTTTTAGTGGGGAACAGGCTGGCCAGGTACAGCTCATGGACAGAAGCTACAACAGGAAGCTGTGGGCTGCTCTACCCCAGTGTGGATTCCCATTCACAAGTGCTGGGAGGAAGTGATCTGAGATCACTTCCTCTACGTGCTGCAATGCATAAATGGAGGATTGTCCTTCACCACCTTTTCGTATTAGCAGATATCTGAAGTTTCACTGGGACTCCTGACGGGCCAGAGCCTGTTTGGCTCTTGTAGCCTTGAGTGCCGTGCAAAGACACCTCAAGTGCCGTGCATGGCACTAGTGCCGTAGGTTGCCTTCCCCTGCTCTAGAGCCTACAACATCCCCCTGTGTGTGATTACAGTTCAATAAACAGAGCAGAAGGTGAGAACTTCTACAGTAAGCACACCATGTTTTAAAGGACCACTATAGTCACCCAGACCACTTTAGCTCAATGAAGTGGTCTGGGTGCCAGGTCCCCCAGGTTTTAACCCTTCCGATGTAAATAGTTTACATTGCAGGGTTAATCCAGCCTCTAGTGGCTGTCTTTCTGAGGGAGCCCGGCACTGAATTAAGGTAAGTGGCTCAAGGGGTTTTACCACTTCAGCCCAGCGGGAGGGGGGCCCTGAGGGTGGGAGGGACCTAAGGACTATATAGTTGCCCTTTAAGATCTTTCTGTAAAATTGAAAATTTAATTTTTTTTTGTGTGGGCGACAAGCAGGGGAGGTGTGGCTAGGGCTGTCTAAATATAGGATACTCATACTCCATGCCATATGGCTTCTGAAAAGGGTATAACTTTTTTTTTTTTTTTTTTTTTTTATTGGGAGCTACTGATTGGCTTAGAACCTCAGCTGACCGCTCTAGACAAACAGTGGCTCCCCTGCCATGCAAAACATCTTGCTTCCTGAAACTCTGTTACTGAAGTCAGATGCCACTGGGGAACCTGGAGATACAGTGCTGGAGGCAGCCTTTGCAGTTAAACAGTTCAATAATAGTTTAACCCCTTAAATTAAGTCAGCGCCCATGGGCCTTCTGGCACCATAACAACAATTTATATTAAGTTGTTATGGTGACCAGTGTGTTCCTTTAAGGAAATCTTAAAGGTATGGTATAATTTATTACAATGATGTATTCCAGGTTCAGAGAACTGTACCTGACATGTAAATATTATCAGTTGTAAACCTTGAATTAAATGGAGGCTAAAACTCTAAAGGTCCCTTTTGTCAGGATTACAGAATGATCCAGCACGTAGAACTGTGTAACACAGAGGACTGATAGGTAACGTATACCGGACCTTAGAATGGCCGGACTAACGTACCAAAGAATAGTCAGGAATAGCCGAGGTCAAGGGATACAGAAAGAGACACAATGGTAAGGAAAAGCCAGGAGTCAGGGATACCAGAAAACAGGAAAGTCAAAAACAATGCCAAAGTCAAATAACCAAAATAACCAGAATCAATAACACGCTCTGGGACAACCACAAGGGAAACCACGACAGGGCACTGTGCAGGATGAGAACTGGGCCTAAATACCCCTCCTCTAGATCTGATAGGCTGTAACCGGCCTTTGACCCCAAAGGCAGTTACCAGGTTCTATTTGCATAATTGCTGCTCAGCATTAACCCTTCTGTGGATTTGGTTGCTGCTCGGCACAACTTTTCCTGTGTGGACAGTAAATGCCATTAACCACATTTTTATAAGCGGATTAATCCGTGACACCTTTCTATTTGAGAGGGAACTAACACTGTAACACTGACCCGGAGTTTTAATATATATGTATGTATAACACAGAGGCTATTGAAACCATAGACATTACAGCTAGTAAGCCTCTTTTTCTCCCCAGATTGGTTGCTTGCCTCCCTCATCCCATGCTTTTGTTATTTTTTTTCATGTTTTCCTTTCCCAGAGGCGTACCTAGGGTCTCCAGCACCCTTGGCAAAGAGCTGTATCTTCTGTAAACATATGTAGCATTATATTTTGTTTCCTAACCCTCGCGCTCCCATAAAAAAAATTATAAAAAGGAATTTAATTTTTCTGAGATTTCCAGCAGTCACTCAAAGCCCTCTGCACTATATCAAATCACTGCAACTTGTACACATGAAATAGCATAGTTCCATATACAATGCAATGCCAATAATAATCTGTGTTATCAACCTCAAATCATAAATATATATTTACACACACATATTTAGACTTGTGTGATGATGGTGATGTGCCAGAGCAATGCTTGTCACCATATTGAAAGCATAGTGGAGGCACATCACACCTGACAGTGACAAGCACAACACAGGCCTGTATACCTTATTGCAAACACAACATTGATAAATCACACCTTTTCACAAGCATAACACTGGGATATCACACTATATCAGTGCTGAATTGGGGATAAAAACCAGCCCTGGAAAATGTTTTATACCAATTCACAGGACTTACATCAGCAAAGAGATTGCACTCACAGGACTTGCCCCAGCACTTACCCCATCACAGAGATTGCGCTCAAATGACTTGCCCAAGCACCCATAATTTACCCAACACCGAGATTGCACTCACAGGACTTGCCCAAGCACCCAGGACTTACCCTAACATTTAGATTGCACTCACAAGACTTGCCCCAGCACTTACCCCATCACAAAGATTGTGCTCAAATGACTTGCCCGAGCACCCATAACTTACCCAACACTGAGATTGCACTCACAGGACTTGCCCCAGCACCCAAGACTTATCCTAACATTTAGATTGCACTCACAGGACTTGCCCGAGGATTTTAAACAGCCTCCTGCATGCATCTTGCAGAAGGAAAAATATGCCAGATATGAGATTTCCAGCGGCAACAAAGGCAGCATCACATTGGCCGAGAGAGTACTCTCTCACTCTTACAGCCGTATCTGCATCCGCCACTGCCATAAAAGCCACATCCCAAAGTGGCCCCAGGGTAGTCTGGCCCTGCACTCTATCCAGCGCTCTCCCTGTTTATTGTGCGTGCGGTTCTTTGATGGAGTCGCACCAGGGGCGTTTTAGCCGCGAGGCAAACAAGGCATTTGCCTTGGGCGGCATTTTTCAGGGGGCGGCAAAAAACGCCGCCCCCCAAATGCCCAGGGCAAATGCTTTGTTAGCCTCGCGGCTAACTGACCGGCTGGGCTGGTGGGCGGCGCTGGGCAGGCGGCTGGCGAGGGAGCTCTTCCCCTGAGCGGTCCGCTCAGCTCCCTCGCGCGCCGCAGAGTGAGGCTGGGAGCCGGAAGATGACGTCATATTCCGGCTCCGGCGCTGCAGCAGCAGCAGTAGCTGGGCTGGCAATAACCGCCTGCCTAGCCCAGCCGGCATCCACTGGACCACCAGGGAGGTAATGAACCCCTCCCCCCCAGCACTCCCAAAGGTAAGGGGGGGCTAAATATAAATAAATAAATGTGTTAATGTGAGTGAGTGAGTGTGTGTCTGTTAATGTGTGTGTGTTTTGTTAGTGTGTGTGTGTCTGACTGTGTCTGTTAGTGTGTATGTGTGTGTGTCTGACTGTGTGTCAGTGAGTGTGTGTTTGCCTGTGTGTGTGTGTTTGCCTGTGAGTGTGTGTGTCAGTGAGTGTGTGTCTGTTAATGTGTGTGTGTTTGTTAGTGTGTCTGCTAGTGAGTGAGTCTGTTAGTGTGTGTGTCTGACTATGTTTGTCTGTTAGTGTGTCAGTGAGTGTGTGTGTGTCTGACTGTGTGTGTGTGTCTGACTGTGTGAGTGTGTTTGCCTGTGAGTGTGTGTGTTAGTGAGTGTGTGTCTGTTAGTGAGTGTGTCTGTTAATGTGTGTGTTTCTGTTAGCGAGTGTATGCGTATCTGTCATTGAATGTGTGTGTGTGTATTTAGAAGGCGGGGGGTTGGTGCAGGGGGGGTTGGCGCGGGGGGAGGTGGGGGGGCGCCTGCGTTTTGTCCTGCCTAGGGCAGCACAAAACCAGGATACACCACTGAGTCGCACGCTGCCTGGGGGTGCAGGCTGAGCGGAGGGCGCAAAAATCACTGCTCACACTGATAATTGACTTTGCACCCCCCCTCGGAGAATACCACCATAACACACATGGCAACAGAAGAATATATTATGACATAATTAGTATGGATTTGCTTAATTATACAACACAGTTTTTTATTTTATTTTTTACACATGCTACCTTCATGACACAAACTCATTAAAGTGAGTATTTAAAGGGAATTCAGGGAACATTTTCAATGTAAGGTGAGAATAGCCAAACTGTAAAGATTCCCTTAGTCAGCTATGCATTCAGTTCCACTATTCTGGCTTTAAATTTGCAATTCACTATGCCTTTGGTTAAAAAAAAAAACATGCTAATGTTGAATTGATAAATCAAATCCTATATTTTACAACCCTTTCTACCCATATTAGCAAGTTAAGTAAAAAAGATAATTAAAGTTGGAAGAACCCTCATAAAATCAACAGGTCACATCAGAATGCATTCCTCCTACTTGTTTGCCTTATTCATACTACTCTCAATACAATGACACAAAAAATGTAGACAAACAGAAATTATATAAAGGAGGGAACACATATGAAAAGCCACAGGCAATGGAAAGTAGGCTATTGGAAGGAAATCATTACAAAATATACATGGTATTTAAAGTGCTTTTCTATAACATTTGGAAATAATACCAGTGTCTGATCTTGACAAAGAAAGATCGTGATCCCCTTTCAATGGACACGTGATGTGAATGAGACTGTGTGGCTGCAAACGTTGGCTTAGATTGAGTTAACGTTACTGAGAAAATGTCCAAAACAAAAGAGGACTTTTTAAAGAGATTGTATGGCTGTAAAAGGTCTCCTGAAAACACTGAAAGTTGAACTTTGTCTCATAACTGTTCACTTTTGTTTTGACTGGTAAAAGGAAAGCATCACACGTATAATTAACACCAGGTTTTTGGAGAGTTTGGAAATACACTGAAGAGAATTTAATTCTATAACAAGACACAGAGGCTCATATTGCATATCCCTTTCTTTACTGTCCACCAATAGCAGCAAAGAATACAAACAATGAAAAAACAATGAACATACAGTAACATAGGCCCTCCCCGCTCAGGTCCCAGTGTAATAGGCAGCACTTCCTTTCCATTTCCCTCTGTCTTTGCTGCTCCAATACAAAGATAAGTACATGTCACATCTTCTCTCTGATTACGTGTTTATTACCTGCTATTGATATTATTATTGATATCCTTGCATTACACCGTATAGGTTTATCTGTTATTGATTCTTTTATTGTCTTCTATTTTATTTATTAGAGATTTTTATTATTTGTTTTTCTCTGCTTGTTTGATGCTACACATCTGTGTGTTTTTTCTGTGTACCCAGGGTCCAGACCTCCCCTGTTATATATTTTGTTTATTACCCCCTTTTTCAATTGACCTTGTCCTTGTGACTTTTCCTTGTGTTTTTCCTTATCTCCGTCTTGCTGTTTCCTCTCCCTGTCCCTTGGCGCCCTTTTGCGCCCGTTCTCTGCTGTGTTCGGCTGTTTTTCGTGCATGAATTAAGCCCATTCGGCTGATTCGTCAAGAATACATGCTGTTTACTTTTTCCCGGCAAACAGCACCATTCGCCTGTTTGCCGCGTTCGACAAATTTTTGCACAAACTACTCATTCGGCTGTTTTTTCCACTCTTCCTTATATTAGTCTATCTATTTCCACAAATTAGTTTCTTTTCTACTGAACGTTCGGTTCTTTAATTTAGCGAATTTTCACAATATTTTGACGTGAATCTCGCGAGATTGCCGGTGACCATTTTCTGACTTCCTGTCTTCCTACCTACCTTGAGTGTGCGTGTGCCACTGGTCTGGGCCCTGGTGAGATCGCTCTTATACCTATTGCTTTTAGTTTTGGGTGACTAACCCATACTATTCTTATATCTAATTAGGGATTAGGTCCTGTTTATTCTCCATTATGCCTAAACCCAGACTACCTTCTGGATCCCAACTCTCTGGGGAGACTGATGCCCCATTTAATTTGGGTGAGACCCCTGTCACCTCGGGCACTCCACCAACCCTGGTAGACAGAACCACCCACCCTGAGGGGGCACAATTCTTAGCGTTACAGCGCTCAGTGACAGACGCCATTATGGCAGCCATGGGGTCCATGTCATCTACCCTATCCCATACTATTTCTCAAGCCCT